ATGACTTCATTACCTATTACCGAGATAAAAGGTGACATTATTGACGTGGGGCTCTGCGGGATTTTCCCAACCATTCTCCATGTTTTGGGTACCCATCATTGGCACCAAGCCGCGATCTGCGCGCTTAGGAACGTCATGTCCAACCCGGGCCCAACGGGGAGGTGATCCCAGCTTCTACGGATCTTTTCTTCAGGGCATAGCTGTGCAGGGAATATCTGCGCCACGTTTCTTTCTCCAAGTTCAGAATGAGTGCTGATCCGTCAAATAGACCTCCGTGAGTGGTACGATAAGACGAAGACTTGATACCGGGTGTTTCGTCCTAGTCGGCACCAATCAGATGTGTAAAGTGCTGTCGAGGGATTCTAGTACCCACGATAGTACATAATGAATACCAGAGCATCTTTCCATAACAGGTAGATCTTCCACCGAGAAAGGTACTTATGTTGGAAATGAACGAGCAATGAGTTGCCTGACTTAGGGTTCGGGGTTGATCTTGTTCCAACGAAATGCGATCCCCATGAGGGTTTCGAGCATAGCCAAACGGTTCCAATTGCTTCAACACAGGGTATACTCGGGAAGCTGTGGGTGCAGACTTCATATGGTACTTAGAATCAGAGTGAATTTCGAAGCCAAACCTCTGGAACCCTTGTGTAGGCCGGGCGAGAGAAGCGTAAGCGGCGAGTAGAGGAAGAGCGGAGCCGTAAGACGGAGAAACCAGCATCATGCAAGCAAGAGCAAATGGGCCAACAATACCCCTGCCCGAGAACAGCGAGTCATCAGTCATAGCCCAAGTAGATGGCAGAGGAACAAGGTACCGTCTCTGGGGAGAGACAGCGTTCAGATTGGTGCGTTATTATCTGCATAACACTTGTAAATGACTATCAGTACGCGTCACTGACTAATGCAACAGGTACACACTCGCCAAGTCTGGAGCCGTCTCCGCAACAAATTTTCAAGACTCTACAACGGAGAGTCCTTGACGCCGGCCCCGCGTCGGTGAGAATGGTAAGATGATTTACATACTCGACGGAGAGAAAAATCGTCCCATGCAGGGTCACCAGGTGGAGTTTGCCAACAACTTTGCTGACCCTTGGAATTGATTGATAACTTGTCGCCGAGGAAAGGGCACTTCAATTTTGTCGGCGCATTTCCTGTACCCGGCGCCTCCCTCTGAGTTGTCGGCCGCGCACGGAAACACCGACGAAAGTCCTTGCAGTCTGAGAGTATATTCGCCTGTCCCTTTCTGATTGACATGACTAGACGAGTCGTATGCCGTACGTTCATGGGCCTCGCCCAGACCTTCCAGGGCAGATCCTTCAACTGTAGCACTGGAAAAATATCACAGTCAGCCAATACTCGACCAAGGCATCAATGACCTACTTTCTGATGCTCTGATGCGCAGTAAAGTGCAGAGCTTACTAGATATCAGCTTCTATCAGCCACACGTCTGGATTCCGAAGATGGTTTTCTGCCCTCTTCTTGATGTGCCTGTTGCTATGAGAACAGAGTATAAGCCCTTTAGCGATTCTCAAAGCGTGTATGCGGACTTATGCCGACAAAAAGTAGTACTGATCGGGGTAGTACGAACGGACTCACCCTAACCCCCCACCCTTTCCGTCCTACGAATAGCGATCGATCGTAATAGAGTTCTATGAAAGTGAAGTAACATGAGAAAAGCTACCGGCTAAAGCAGGAAATACAGGAAGGAACGGCTAATCAGTGGCTATTAGGAATTACAATTCGAGAACCCCTCACCAGTAGTTTCAAGCAGTGCTTGTCCATTTTAAGGTGGAGAGGCGAGTACAGTGACGAGGAAGGTTCGAGAGACAGGCGATACTATAAGGAAATTGATTTAGAATAGTGGTGATTCTTCGAAGTTGAACAGTAGAAACTAAGATAGTAGTCTAACTTACAGTGGATGCAGTCTCACGTGATCACGACGCGTCCCCCACGAGCGGGATAAAGCTATTATAAGCGACCAGAGACGCGTATGGATCATCTGAAGAAATTCTTATGGTAAACAGCTGAAAGGTTTGATATTCCGGTATCCATAGATGTTCTATAAACAACAATGGCTGTGCGGAACTAGACGATACGAATGACACGTACTTGAGAAAATCCGGGATTTACAGGCGAGAGATCAAAAGTGCCAAAGCAAGCATAGAAAGAGTCGGTGAGGTGGCCTCTAAGGGCGCTTTACTTCAGCAGAGTGCTTGGCAGTTAGATCTAGAAAACAGTGCAACTTCAATGCGAAAATCGCTTCCTCTTGAAGTCGGAGTTATATCGTACTGGAAAGTAACGAAGGTATGACCTATATCATAGCAATCCTATTGCCGGAAGGTCACTACATGCCCGTGTCTGGAATAGGGACGGAATGTATGATGTTGTGGAGGGGTATGACGGACCAATGGTTTTAGATTTTTAGGACTACCGGCGTGGAGAAATGAGGCAAACGAACGTAGACGGTCATCAGTGTACACGCCTAAAGTGCTATTCCGCTGAAGGTAGCTAGCCTCTGCATCAGTAGTCAGTCAACGACGGGAAGCTCGGACCGGATGCCGAAACACGTCTCCAACTCCATTCAGCGAGATGGCCAATTAATCCAGTGTTCCAGTATTCCATCGATCACCCTTCTTGTGGTCGTCTCGTCGGGCAAACACGACATATTGGCGCAAAACTTATGTTCCAGCTCGTACATCTCAAAATCATCAGAAACTCGTCGACTCTAGAGAAAAGTTGGAAACCCTCCTGACGACGCCCAATACTAAACCTGTATTAGAATTAGGGCAGTCTGCTTTTTAAATCTTTACATTCTTTCTTGCGGCCGCCTTTTATACTTAGAAGAACTTTTCATTTCGCGGCGGTGGCGGTTCTGTGCCGCAAACTCACTTCAAACATTCGAAGCAGACGACGGGGATCTTTATTCGCGTTTTATCCGTCTTTTACGTCTTTTAGGCATGGGGTATGAATGTGTGGATTCCAAATCTGAAGCGATGGAGGACAATCCTCGATTATTCGCGAACACCTCCACTCAAATTTCCAGGCGGTGACAATTGGGGTTGGGACTCAGATGCGGTGACCGCCCATCCCGTAGATAGTAGATGGTAGGGTTCACCGATCAGGTTCGTCCATCTTGTCGTCTGGCCTCACAAGTTCCGATAGACTATTATAGTATACCGAATTTCTACTGGCCCAGTCACTTGGTCACAGTCATATCCTCGTATTTACGATGCAGTGTTTTCCCGAACTGGCCAACTATCGAACTGCACCAAGTCACCGAATTACTTTTCATGGCTAGCGGGCGAAGGTGGTCAGTTTTTTGCTGCTCCCTGCAGAGACATCCTCTACAGCCTGAGCCGGTGGGCCTTAGAAGTACTCCGTCATGAGTTGGTAGGCTTCCTAATGTCGCTACGGCATTTTCCCCCTTCTGCACACGAATTTGGCTCCACGATTCGAGCTCACTACGGCGATCACGCTTCTTTTCCTATCTTCCCAATTTCCCTCCAGAGCGAAGCCTGTAACCATGAAGTGCTATCTATAAAATCGTTCCGAGAGTCCTCAGCGGACGGCATCGAAGAAACAACTATTCTGGGCGTAGCACTCACCGCTTTCTGCCGTTCGTGACATCGAAGATAGATGTAAGCCCTTCTCTTGGTTCCCGCAGGCTTCAACCACAGTGGCTTAGATGACTCCTTGGGTGTATCGTACTGCAATGCCACGCCGTCTATCGTCACTGATATTCATGGAGACCAGCCATTTGTGTTTTGAACCGTGGATCGGAACAATCTAGCGCCGCTATGTGGTCTGAACGTTGCCCATACAACATAAATGTTTGTCTCTCGGTCCCCCTTTTCTTGCTCCACTGTTCAAACGGCGAAGGAGCGTTATATGCCGACGGCACCAAGGCCTTGTGGCGTATGTCCTCAGACAGGGTGATGGCATCTTAAGCTCGCGTCACCTTCCAATTTATTCTCCCTCCCATCTTCTGCTGCAATAGGGAAGTTCAGTGCTGGTGGAAGGAGCGAGAACTGATGGGAATGTGACTTTATGAATATATTGTATAATGAATAAAAGTTCTCTGCTTGTCAAGTGGTAATATCTGGTCAGGCGAGATGCTTATGAAGAACAACTATAATGTTGCGGTGTAGCTCCTTAGAGATGAGTTGTTTAAGTAGAGAGTTATCTCTCCTTTTGACTGGAGGATTTCAGTTAGCAGTTTACACAATATATTTGCCCATGAAAAATGGGGTTTCAGACTGCCAAATACCTGATAGGTTATTACACTGCGACCTCTCACTGGCACTGGATTAAAAACAATGTATCTTTACCAATGAATACATAGAAAATATGAAGAGTTTTTTCATCGTTTTTGTACTTAAAAAGGCACTAAAAATGGTTTAAAATATTTATTATTTTTTGCAAGATTTGCCAAATACAGTGAAAAGTCCTAAATATTTATACAGATCTCTCTACAAAAATATTAAAAGAAAATATACAAAGTTTCTCTTTGGTATTCTTGCCGACAAAGAGTCATGCATATTTAGAAAATTTCTTCTGTATTTTGTGAATTTACATAAGACAGTGAGAAACCACAAATACTTTCAGGTTTTGTTTTTCAAAAAAAAAAGTGAGGAAATTTTGCATATTTTTGTCCAGTGTGGAGGATTTTCACCAAGGCAAATAGTGACTTTACCTGCGGTATATGAGCAGTAAATTCATTACGAGATTGAAAGTATATCCTAGTTACAGAGTAAATTAAGATAAATATATACATATAATTTGAAGCAAACTGAAGGACATCGGAGCTGCGAGCACCAACAATGGCAACATGCATGAAAACACGTCGGTCATGTTATAGTGCACGTAATACATTAATTAACATCCGAAGATCCACCTTGAGGAAGGAATAAAAACATTACATTTTAACGTTCCTTCTCCTCAGGACATTCCTCGGCCCGGAATTCAGATTCAAGGACTGCGAATAATGATACTTTATTACGTGATCCCTAAGCGAGTTGAACGCTTGGCCTTGTGGACTCCCGAAAACTGGAATCACACGCTCTACCACTGAGCTAAGGGATCATACTAAAGTTTTTTCCTTAAGCCATTCACATACGGTATGGGAGTCTTATTGAGGCGCGACACACACTGATAGTTTTTATACGTAGTCGTTACTTTCGTCAAGGACATGTCCTGACTGGGCCCGCTGCTTTCCATCCATGTTGCTTGCGATGTACCACACGGCATATGATCCTTGCCTGTAAGGTTGGAGTTTAGCAGAGTTTCTTAACATCACTTGAAGCCCGGCGCTGACACTTGAGTGGCCATGAGTCCCGATAGGATTAATGCATGACGCTCGGTGCGATATCAATGGGACGGTGGAACTTTGCGAGTTTGACGGCCCACCGTAACACCAGATAAACACCGAATCCAATTTTGAAAATGCTTTGAAGGCGCCAGGTCAGACATCATCAAGAACGAGATAGAAAGAAACGTACGAGGACTGCACAGCGGCAAACTTCAATACAAGTTGAACGATATCCTTCGCGTACCATAAACAGTACAGTATGAGTTTGATAAAAATTGACTGCTCCGTTGTTGCCTGAAATAGCTAAATTAGCTCCGCTGATACGATTGCTGAGGGCCATCTGAAGAGCGATCTGAATGAAGATGATGGCGAAAAGAGTCTAGAAGCCTTGAGGTCACAATTTCCGGCGACGATAGCAGCCATTTAAGGACTTACGCAAAAGTGGTGGACAAACAAAGTCTGCCGCATGTTCGATCGACACACCAATTCGTAAAGATCTTATTTCATACGGGAATGCTTCAACATATGGACTGACACGGAACCATAGACACTCACACAGGCCAGAGACAATAAGCCCTGTAATGCACATTTCTCCGATGTGGTTTAAAGTATAGAGGCTGCTTAAGCATAGTGATGCGAAAAGATGAAAGATATGCGCAGCCATAGTCGAGATAGTGCAGAGAATGTCTGAAGGCCTCGTCAAGGCCTCGTTTAGATGCATCACTAGGGACATGCAGGCCACAACATTACGCCTGTGTGCAAACGAAAGTTCTCGATATTCCATGGAACACTGGGCAAGAAGAAATTCGACGCCCTTGCCGTTCTCGTACAGGAGGGGGATGTAGAGAAAGGTCGGAATAGAACACTATTGAACGCAAAGCGTGAGAAGGGCAATCACGATAGGGAATCGTAATACACGCACGAAATGCGATAGTCGTAGGGTATATTAGCTGCATGTTGAATCTCGTAAGTTCGGCTAGTGTGTCGTCGGAAAGTCCTGCAGTTCGACCTCCTGATGTGAAATTGGCTGCAATGAGGCTTGCTGAAAACGGACGGATGGTGGCCATCTCAATATAGTTTCTATTAGCTTCATTGAACAGCGGCATCATCAGCATAAAAACGAGGACAAAAATTATGCACATACCACAATTCTCGCCTCCAGCAATGCCAAGGCTGGGGCAATGAGCATCCGGCTGAACTTTGAACGATATCTCTGAACATTTATCTGAAACTAACGTGAGGATAGCGATAAGTAGGAGATCATGATGGATTTACCGGCAAACAGATTGGTCAAGATTATCTATTGTTATATTCTTCCCAGGGGATTCGAAGCATGAATTGTACATGCAATAGAAGGATCATTGTAAACCTTAAATGCGGGTATACGAAGCATACTTACGAGTCGTACTGCTTATTAGCACCCGTACGGTTTTCCGTAACCACAGTGCATACATCTACCGTCATTTTCGCACTCGCCGCGTCTGTCAAATTCCCTACAATTATTTCATTGCTGATTTGTTCGGACAGCCCAGAAGATAGGGAAAAAAGAGCCTTTCCACGTTTCAAAAACTGCCAAGTCGTACTCGGATATCATTCAAGTCATCGTCGAAGTAGACCCAAAAATCAACTTGTAACGGTGTCGTGGGTGACACAGTCGCGTGATTCATCCAAAACACGGTACTTGCAGATACGACGGAGTGCTATATTGACAGAGACTCGACGGTAATGTTTGTTGGATAGCCAATGATCTGTGGTACTTGCCTGAGCCACTCTGCTTGACGCACCATACAGGAATTCTGGAATTCACAGTCAAGACATTGAGAAGCGGAATCCACGAGTACATACCAGTATTGTTGTCAATGCTGCACAGCGCTTTATACTGATACTGGGTGGCAGCTACGGATAGATAAGACGCGGTCGCCTTACTCGTGAAACTAGTACGCCCAACGTAATCTGTTGCCAGCGCGGAACTGTTGTCACGGTGGATTTGCTGGCACGTCCACCTAGGCTGGCGTTACACAAGCAGCACAGAGCAGGCAATGGTAAAATCGCGACTTTAGGTCCGGTCGAACACCAATTTGCTTCTTGGGACGTCGTTCACGCCACTCTGTGTCACATCTAACAGCTATCCTAAATTTACTGTGTCCTCGCCAGGCTATGCTTGTTTGCTAGTCATTAATTGTAGTCCTAATCAAATTCTTAGTTTGCACGGATTGACTCTATGCTGATAATGCAAAAGAAAACACACACACATAATTATGCTGCTAACTCGGGACATCGATTGTCTGGTAGTGTTCAACTTCCCTGTTCACAGCGATTCTTTCTCCAAGGAGCCTAGAAGAGGCAAACAGGAACACCTCCGCGTTGACATCAAACAAATCACATCCTGCTGTGTAGTTTCTGGTTTCTACTTTATTGAATGAAACGACACTCAAGTTGAAACACGCACAGCAGAGGCCAGTGAATTTTAGCTCATAAAAAATGAAAGCTTAAAAGGTTTTGTTTTAGCGAAGAGTCTTTCCCCCTATGGAACAATTGAATTAAGGTACCTTTTCGTTTTCCAGCGCTCAAACAAGGACGTAAAAACTGAGGCTGAAATCTAAACTTTTCAAGGTCCCATTTTAGGCTATCACAGACGCACCAGCCTCTGTAGTGACGACCCTTGATCATTCGCGCTTGTTGCGGCGCTGACGAGACGTGTCGAAGCCCACTCCAAAGGCCGAATTTTCAACATCTAGTTGAGTCTAGCTCTCCATCAAATAAATTGGCCTAACCATACGCAGATTTCGATGTACCGACTACTAGTCGATTCTCGATTGACAGATAGTACCGTTCAATCGGAAACAAAGCGTTCTAATGCTTCGCAAATTCTCCGTCTTAGCTGATGAAAGACTTCAATCGCCTCCAAGGGTCGTTTCTGAGGCTTGTCGTCCAAGAGTCCTGCCTTCACGATCAAATGAATCCTTGGTCCAGTAAGAATGATCTGCGACAGCCGGAAGTTTTGAGCATTGTCCCTTAATATTTTCCGAGATACACCACACGGCATACGATCCTTGTCTAGATGAGAAAAAACATCAATGTGGTTACCACGCAGATTAGGTTCGGAACGTGCATTTGAGTAGCCATGAGGACTGAAATGAGGAAAACTAGCGTGACGCTGAGGGCAGCATCGATTTGGCGGTGGAATTTAGCAAGCTTGATGCCCCACCAGACAAGTAAATAGATTGCTGACGCGATCTTACAGATGCTGTGACGCTTCCTTAGTCTGAAATGTCGCTCTAGAAGGACGTTTACTCACAACGACTGTATCGCAGCAAATTTCAAGACAGGCGCCACAACATGCTTCGGAAATCGTAGACGGTAAAGTATGAGACCGATGAACACGGACTGCTCAGTTGTAGCCTGGAACAGCCAGATGAGCCCGGCAGATGCTATAGCTGGGTGAAGCGCTATCTGAAGCGCTATCTGGATGAATGTGGTTGCAAACAAAGTCTAGATATGCAAGATGAAGCTTCAGCAGAAATTGTGAAGCAGAGTGAAGCCTACGCAGAAATGATGGACAAGCAAAGGCCATCGCATGCTAGTACGAAAAACCAGTTCATATGTGTCTGTTCGCATGAATTATAAGATCACGATTAATGCGAAGTTTATGAGACTCACACAAGCCAGAGATGATGACAGCAGCCACACGAGCCTCGCCGATGCGGTTCCATGTGTAGTATCCACCTAGCATAGGCGATGCTACAATCTGCAGGATGAATGCGACCATCGTCCAAAAGGTGCTGAGACAATCTAGCCAAAGATGAAAAGATTAGGACAAGACCGTGCACGCACACTTGAGTACTCACAGGTGACGACGTTCCGCCTATTGGCGAACGACAGAGCGGCATATTCTTTGGAAAAGCGAACAAGGAGGAGTTCTGCTCCCTTTCCGTTGACATACAATAAGAGCATGTAAAGGAACACTGGAATTGAGTACTGAGACCACAGAATACGAGGTAAGGTATGTGTGAGTGAAGCCGGAAGAATCACGCACAAATGCGACGGTGGTGGGATATATGACTTGCATGTTAAATTTCATAAGTTCGACTATAGTGCCATCGGCCAGCCCTTCCGTCCCACCGTTGGTGACATCGGCCGCTAAAAAGTTTGAGGCAAACGGATGCATAGCGGTTTCCTTGGCATAATCAACACTGACTAGACCCAAGCAATCGTTTAATATCATCCGCGATAGCAGCGAGGGCCAACTCACCGCACGTATCGCCCCCGGAAGGACCAAGGCTGGAACAATGGACGCTGGGTCGAGATAGTACCATGTCCTTGACAAAGTATCTAACATTGCTTCAGCGACGGCCTTCCCTCAGCCAAAATGCTCACTGACCGGCAAAGGGATTGGCCGAGGCTGTCCATCGTTGCGTTTCGTGAAAGTGTCTCGAAGCAGGAATCGTACCTAGGATCAAGAGCCGTGAAGTGGATATCAAGAATGCTTTCAAGAATGCTTACGAGTCGTATTGTTGATTCCCACCAGTACAATACTCAGTGGCAGCCGTGCAGATATCTGCGGTCATTCTTGTACTGGCCGCATCAGTCGAATTACCAACAGACATCTCATGAGCAATCTGCTCGGACAGAACGGATGCCAGAAACGAGAAGGCTTTGGAGAAATTCCGGATCGTCAGATCATAGGCCGATATCTGCATTTCATCATCAAAGTAGAACCAGAGGTCGACTTTTAGCGGTGTCGTGAGCGACATTGTCGCATGATACATTGAGA